CAGGAGACCCGCGATGGACGGGGCAGACCCCTGCGGGTCCCAGTCTCGAGTGGCATGAGCCATGACGGGCAGCGGGCCGTGTGGCGGGCACAGGGCCGTGGGGCCTTCATGCGGGAAGCAGGACGGCGGCACGCCGGAGATCGGGCTGGGAGACTTGCCTGCGTTTGGCGGATGATGAGATTTCGACGGATGACCATCAGGGCAGGCGAGGAGGGGGCAGGTCGGGGTTAGGCTGGAGGCAGGGTAAGGGGGCCGACCCCGTCTGAGGGCGCTGGGGAGCACAGCAGGAGTGTGAGCAGGGGAGGGCAGGATTGATCCGAAGGCTGGAGCAGGGGCTGTGGGGCTGGAGTGCGGCGCGAATGGAGGAGGCGGGAAGAGCGCAGCCCGATGGGGGGCTTCAGTGGAAAGCAAGAGTGTCTTGCAGGACACAAGAAAGGTGGGCCTGCAGAGGCATGGTGAATGAGGGAGGTGGGGCAGTGAAGGTGAACCAACGAGCCGCCCGAGTCTGTCAGTGATGACACTGCACAAGAGCCCTAGCAGAGCGGGCTTAGAACCACGGATGACCTCTCTGTTCCTACCTTGGGCGCCCTGGCCAACGCTTTCCCCGGGGGCTCTCTGCCAAGTTTGGGCATAGGCCCCGCCCCTCCAGGCGGGACGGCCCCACCAGGTCTTTAGATGAGGAGGAGGAGGAGGAGGTCGCTGGGAGGTCGTGACCGGTCATTAAGAGACAAACTCGCAACAACGGCCAGGCCGTCCAGGAGGCAGGCGCGCAGGCTCACGGCCGCGCCTTCCATGTGCGCGCAGCTCCTGGCGGACGCGGTGGCACCCCCCCCCCCCCCCTCCTTGCAGCTGGGCGACCAGCTCTGCACGGCCTGGCTGGCGACCAGCTGCGGCAGTGGAGATCGGGGCGTGCTGAAGTGCGGTCGAGGCCAACGGGCGGCGGGGGCCCCGGCCATGAGGGTCGCTCGGCTCGACAGGCCACCGCAGGTGTCGCAGAAGTTTCGAGTCGGACAGCCGGCTGGGGCGAGGCGTGTGAGGGCTGGGCGCTGACGTCTTGCTGCCCCTTCGTGCTTGCGGTGTGAGGCAAGCCGCGGGACAGGTGAGCTGGGCGGGCGGGCGGGACGGGCGTGGCGGGGGACGGGGCGTGGCGTGCAGGGGCGTGCAGGCTGGGCGGACTAGGCCAGGGCGTGGCGTCGTGGGCGTGGCTGAGCGCGGTTGGGTGGCGTGGCGTGGCTGGCGGGGCGTGGGTTGGCGGGCCGGGGGCGGGGACACAGGCAGGCTGTGACCCCGCGCCAGCGTCTCTCGTGAAGTGGACAGAGCGCTCTGCCGTCCGTGTAGATTTTCGCGTTCCTGAGCCGCCGGTGGGGGGCCCTCTGCTCCCCTCCACGGCGCTGTCTACCCTGGCATGTGCCAGGGAGATGTCGGGGTGGCGGGGCCACCTGTCACTGTCACCTGTCAGGGGCGTCAGGAAGGGAGAGGCAGAATGGCAGGGTGTCGCGGTCGTTCGGTGGGGGAAGGGTTCCTCTGAGAGCGACAGGGACGCGCGAGGCCCGGTCCTTAGGAAGGGCGTCCAGGCATCGGACGGGCACGTGACAAAGGCCCTGAGGCTGCCGGGTGCCCGGCTGTCGGGGAAGTGGGGAGGGGAGTGGCTGCAGCTCAGGCGTGAGGGTGAGAAGGGGTGATGGTGAGGTCAGGCGGTCACGGGTGGGATGGTGCAGACTAAAGGCCTCTGTGAGATGACCGTGAGGTTCTCGGGTGGGACGCCTTCTGGTCCTGTGAATGTATTTTTATTTGTCCCTTTAACCCTTCCCTTACAAGACATCCCAGGGAATACGGGCCAGCTGAGTCATTTTAAAGATAAGGAAGAACTGGAGCCAAGGTCCCCAGCTTATGAGCTCCAGGGCTGGGCCAGACCAGTCATGGCCGCAGGGCCTTCTCCTCGGCCTTGGCCCCGAGCCGCTGTGCTTGCACGGAGTGCCCTGAGGATCGGAGTGACGTTCTGGCTGTAGGGCGGGAGCCTGCCACCAGGGGCTCTACGAGGCGTCATCCGGGAGGTGCTTGCTGGCGAGGACGACCGAGTGAGCCCGCCCGCCATCGCCACGGAGCCTGGACCTGCCGTGTGTAACGAGCCCCACTGCTCACCTCTGTGAACACTTGCCTTTGACCCTTGCCTTTGGTCAGGACTGGCCGGAGCTCAGAGGGGCATGGTGAAGTTCCCTGCAGAGGGCCTTGGAAGCGGGGCCGTGATGCAGAGTGTGAGGAGTCTCAGGTGGAAAGAGATCAAAAATTAAAGACTAGGCCGGGCATGGTGGCTCCACGCTGTAAATCTAGCACTGCTGGGAGGCGAGGCGGCGCTGTAAGGTCACTCAGGAGTTCGGAAAACCAGCGCTGAGCGAGACCCGTCTCTACCAAAATAGAAATATTATAATTGGCCAACTAAAAATATATATAAAAAATTAGCCGGGCATGTGGCACATGGCTGTATCGCAGGCCTATTGAGGCTGAGGCAGGAGATCGTTGAGCCCAGAGTTGAGGTTTGCTGTGAGCCGGTGCGCCATCGCATCACTCTAGCTGGGACAAAGTGAGACTCTGTCTCAAAAAAAAAAAAAAAAAAAAAAACTAAGATGGCCAGGCGAAGTGGCTCGCGCTGCAATCCGAGCCTGTGAGGCCGAGGCGGACGGATCGCTCTAGGTCAGGCGTTCGAGACAGCTGAGCAAGGCGAGTCCCATCTCCCACTAAAAATAGAAGGAGATTAATTGCAACTAATATATTACAGAAAAATAGCCAGGCATTGGTGGGCATGCTGTAGTCCAGCTACTTGGGAGGCTAGGCAGGGATCGCTTGACCCAGGTTTGAGGTTGCTGTGAGTGAGTGAGCCCACGCATCCTCTAGCTGGGCCAACAAAGCGAGATCTGTCTCGCAAAAACAAACAAACCAAACAACAAAACAGAAACCCTAAGGATAGACTCTTATTCATCAACAACCACTCCGGTTGTTTCTGGGCTGGGCGCCGAGGCTCCCAAGAGTCCCCAGACTGGGCAGGCCTCTCAGGCGCTCCTGGGGTGGAAGTGTCCAGAGCACCCTCCTGGCTCCGGCTGTGGGCTCGTTCAGGGAGCCGATGCCAGGACCCCAAGACGGAGTGCATCCTGGGGTGGCGGACGAACGGCACGCAGTGCGGTCAGGCGCACCAGCTCTGTTGCCACCAGGTGCTCGGGACATGGGGGCGGAGGAGGCTGGAGCCGCTGATGGCGAGCGCGCGAGGGCTCTGATGACAGCGGAGGGGTTGCAGGACTTGGTTGTGCAGGGCAGCGGGGAGCCATGGAGGGTGTGTGAGCAGAGCAAGGCGGACTGGACCTCCGGGGAGGATGGGCACGGTCCTTGGTGTTGTGTGTTTAGTTCGAGCAGGAGGAGCAGAGCCCAGGAGCGAGGTCGCAGAGGGGCGCCGGCAGGGTTGGGTTATGGCTTGGGATCCCGAGCCACGAGCTGGGGAGTGTGGGTGCAGAACGGGTTGAGGACTCAAAGGAGAAAGGACAGAGAAGAGGCAGTCAGAGGAGGGAACCCAGATGGCGTCCTGCAAGGAGGATAGGAACACGGCGTACTGTTGCCACACAACAAGAAGCGAGCTCCCTGGAACCAGCAGAAGTTTTAGTTGAAAAAAAAAAAAAAAGCTTTCTTGAGTGCAAATGATCCAGAAAACAGGCGACCCCATGAGTTTCGGTCCCGGGTTTCTACCTGCTTTGAGGGTTCCGCAGGAATCGATTTGTGATGTCTGCCCAGGCAGGGTGTGGGGAGGCAGCCGGTGCCGGTCATGCGTGCGGATCGGCTGCAATGTCTGGATGGGTATTCTGGTCTCCCCAGGACACACTTGGCAGCTGCTCGCTGGAGGCCGCCTGGCCTCCTCCTGGCCTCCTGGCCTCCCTCACCTGCTGTGCGAGGTCCTGGGCCCCAAACACCAGGCTCTGCGTCCCCAGGAAGCCAAACGGCGCCACCAGCTGCCCCAGCGGCCCCTTGACCCGCTCGGCCTCTCGGTAGCACGCCTGCATGAGCTCCGGGTCCCACGGCATCTCCCCGAATGCGTGAACCTGCGCCCCGGCGGCCGGCGGGCGGTGGAGGGGCGGGCGAGGACCCCACCGCGCGTGGCCGTGGGAAAAACACAAAGAGAGACACATCCCGCCTTGGTTGTCACCAACGAAACTGACTCATGGTAAAGTAACAGTGAAGTATGGAGTGAGGGCTATAAAATGGAAAAAAAGAAAAAGAAAATCACAACAAGCAGTGCTGGCACAGCTGAGGGGAGACGGGCACACTCAGTCCCTGTCAGACATAGGGCCCGGGCGCTGCAGCTCTACCCAGTCTGTCCTTCCGAGCCGGAGGAGACGGATTATAGACAGCCCCTCACAGCGGGACGCAAACCACACTGTGACAAGGGGAGCGCAGGCCACTGCGGGCACTGAGGGGGACCGGGGACAGTTCCTGGAGAAGGTGACTACGAAATAGAGGCTTAACAATGAGTTGAGGCCGGGCGCGATGGCTCACGCCTGTCATCCTAGCTCCCTGGGAGGCCGAGGCGGGCGGATCACTCAAGGTCAGGGGTTCAAGACCAGCCTGAGCGAGAGCGAGACCCCGTCTCTACTATAAAAATAGACAGAAATTAATTCGCCAACTAAAAATACATAGATA